ATAATTATTTCGGTTGGAAAAATATCTATCTATCCAATACTACTTTGTTATGAGTCACACATTTTCTTGATTTTATCACAGCACATTTCATACCACCACTTGCCCTGATCCTGGACTTTATTTGCATACCATCATCTCCAGAATTTTCATAAGAGAATGGAAAATTAGACATGTGATTCTGCAATTAGTACTGACTATGAAACAAATTTTAATGTCCATTTTTCTGTGGCATTACACTGGGTGTTTCCATAAAAACCACCCTGGAGGAAACTTTACTGCTTTGGAACTTCAGAAGATAAAAGTCACCTTCCCACCAGAAGGAGAAAATGGCAAGTATTAAATTTTAACAGACATTTGTGGGTGGGAAATCTATAAAACATTAATTGGTATTTCTTCCCACTCACCTCTTCCAAATTGAGCCATATATCTATAAACACACAGAGTAAGGAAGCATAATGGAATGTTTTATTTAACAAAACTTGATGTACAGTGACAAACTGGGCTGCTTTCAAATCAAGAGGTGAGGACATATCTAAGAATGTCTATAAACCTGCTGCTAAAAGTGGTTTGGGGCTTGAGCTTTCACAGAGAGAACGAGACTTCTAGTAAAGCACAGAATCTCTGTGAACTATTGTATTCATTCTTCTACTACAAAATTATTTTTCAAACATTCACATGTGTTTCATCCCAGAAGACATTTCTGAACATATTTATTGCTCTTTCATTTTTCAGGAGTTCAGTGATAACAGGTCACAGAGACAAGCAGCTTCTTGTCTTTTAAAGGAGTGAAAGTGCTTAGAAAGGAGCACTGTTTTCCTGATTATATGTTTCTTTCAAATACACAATTTCAGTGCCTTCAGATATACAGTTCAACTATCTTAAGTTTAAATTTAACATCAAGATGGTACCTACCAGGTTCAGATAAGATTTTGAGATAACTTCTGAAATCTTATAAAGTTTTCCAAGGGAGTTGTTTTCTATTTTACCTTTTTTTTTTTTT